TATCCTCCATCTCATCAGGATAAACAATAAAGATGGTTAACCAAATGCAGACATAAAATAAAGGAAATGTAAATTGTAGTCTACACAGCCATGAGTSCCCCAAACATTTTTCTACTGAACATATATAAGTCTGAAATACTTTGGAGATAATGACTTCTATTTGCACACTTATCCCTTCCTGAAACACAATTGTTTTTCACTGTGCTTGGAAAGGTCACCCTAATCACAAGAAAACTGTAGAATTACCACTGACAGCAGTGATGAGAAGGAGCCTGAACAAAAGATGGTGCAGGAATAGAATCTAAACAAAACTGACATGCAACAGATTGGATTAAAATGACAAAAGACGAGTCGTTACCATGGGCTGCAAATGCATAGACAAAATCCTGAAAAGATGTATGTATATGGAAGGTATAAAGGGAAAAGAGAGATAGTCAAAGTAGTATGTAACTTAGAATAATTTCACATTCAAGAAAATATAAAATGTCCATTTTAATTTGTTCAGTAATTGTCATGACTATGCAGTTTACTTCTGGCTACACAGTGAAGCCCATGTCCCTGTGTGTGTCACATCCATCTCTTTATCTGCCTCTCTCACAACTCAATAAGCAGTGACAGTCTGTATTAATCTGGTTTATTCCTTCTCTCCGTGGCTGAGTTCTGAGGACTTTTTTTGTCCAAGGCAGCTTTGCAATGTTTCTCAACATCTTGCAGATCTGTCTGACTGTCAGCTAAGTCCTGATATGAACACTGCTTCAGGGACCACCCATATTTTGTAGACAAAAATAGAGAGGGAAGAACAAACAGGATGTGAATGTAAATTTATTTACTACATAACCTCTCCCTGAGAGGATATTTCAGGTTTAGCATGAAGAGCCTTGTGTATCACAAAAAAAAGACTTACCAGTGTCTTTCCATCACCACTGTTCTCCCAGACAGTGTAATTGATGCAGTGGGATTAATCATAGTCTGGGATACTCTTTGGTGCAAGCTTTTCATGATGATATTATAAAAAACTGTCTTAAATTGTTCTGAACCAAAAAAGCACTAAGCAAGGTTCTTGTGATGTGTAAAAGCCACCTGCATAATTTGCTAGTTCTGAAATAAAGAATAATAATAATGTGTTTCCAGTGTTGGAAAAGTTTAAATAAAGGATGTAGGATGGGAACATTCCATAATTAGATACAGCATCCACATTGTAAGATTATTCTTATCCCAGTCTGAATGAAATCAGATTTTACTGTAAATGTTTTAGGGCAAAGGAATTTTAGCACACATGCAGAATAACCATACTGATGTTCAAGGAAAAAAATGAATTTGTGATTATAGTSCAGTGCTTCTTCATTAGGAAGGAAATTTTTGGATTACTGGCACATCCCTGGAGAAAAGGTGAAAAAACTTTAGATAGCTGACTGGCTATAGAGCAACTTTGCAGAGAAGCGATTGAGCATGAATAARCATTGAGCCCTTTCAACAATGAAGGCTAGTTGCATTTTTGGTTGCATTAGCTAGGGTGCAGTTAGCATTGAAGCACTCTTGAGACCGCATTTGGAACATCACCTTTATAGCCCAGACACATCCCTGCCCTGTGCCAGCCCCAGCACAATGGAGAGAGCAAAAATTGTGGAGTCCAGCAGAGGGTCAGTCACTGAGACTGTCAGGACACTGGAGCAGAAACATAAGAAGAGGGGTTGAGGGAAATGATTTTGTTCATCAGGAAGAGAAGATGGTTAAGRATGGCAAATTGCATGACTTCTATTGCCTAAGCACAATTTAAACACTAGTCCTAGAGGGGCACATTGGAAGCAAGTGGGAGCAAGCTGCAGMAACATAAACTCTGATTAGACATAACAAAAAATACTTCCTCTGGATGATACTTCAGCACTGGAACAGGTTTCTTGAACATTTTGTCAAATCTCTGTCCTTGAAGATATTCAGAAGTCATGTGGACAAAGCTCTGAGCACCATATTACAGCACTGGAGTTATTCCTGTTTTGAACAGGAATTTAGATTGAGAGACCTCCAGAAGTTCCCTCCCATCACAATTTTTCTACAAGTCTATGATTTTCATTATCTTGCTTTGTTGATTTGAGATGCCTAGAAAAAGCATGAAGGGKTTTTTTTAAGCTGCAAAAGCAGGTCAGCAACTCCCCCAAACCCACAAATCTTTCATTTTTTTCTATGTTGCACAACAGAAACAGCAGCTGCACATGCAGGACCCATCTGCAGACTTGGGTAACAAGAAGACTGTGTGATAACTTGAGGCAAAAAACCCCAACAGCTTTCATGAGGCCATTTTATGTGTCACTTTTTCTGACCAACTGTAAAATGGTGAACAGAAAGCCACATCCTGTGCCTCGTCCCAAGAAGCTGGGGCGGTGTTGTGGTAAGAGAGGCCRATGCGTTATCGAAGTGGTTTTTTGAGTAAATGTCAAACCGCATCCTGTTTTGCTAAAATTTAGCTGCTGTTCCCTTAAAGAGATATTTTCCAGCACATTTTAGCACATCACCTGCTCTCATTCTGAGGTACCATTTTTTTGCTGAGGCCTTCAGAGACATTTTCCACTGATTTTGACTCTATCTTAGACAGAAACTCCCTTTAGGGTCTCCACTCTATGCCTCCTACTCCYTCTGCCTTGCTATTGCATTCTCAAATCTTCTGCTTCCAAAGCTGCTGAAGCGCTCCTCTACTTTGGCTTGTGTTATTCCTACATCTATTTAGGAAACATTTATACATAAAATGTATGATTCTGTTCTCCATCTATTCCTGTGTGAGCCACCACTGAATTACCAATGGTTTAACTTGTGGTGTGAGGTAATAAYGAGACGCAAAGAGGACAAAAGATCTCCAGAAACACTCTCCACATTTACTAACCCCTTGGTTTTATAATTTCTGGAGCACAGAAGGGGTTTCCACAAACACAGCTTTCAAGAAACACACTCTGGTTCCCTTTGCTCCTCCTCCACAGATTAGATGCTCTTCCCTCTCAATTGTATCTTTTTCCCCTATCTCTAAGTTGTGTCCTGTCAATCTTCCTTTGCTTTTCTTGGTCTTTATTTCCTTGTTTTCTTACTCTTCCTAATTTTCCTTTTTACTCTTTCCTTTGAAAGGTCCACAATTTGGCCAAACTTCATCCATTGTCTTGTGCAGTGTCTTTCTGGAATTCTTTCTCTCTTTTTGTCTAAAACCCACACCTTCATTCTCACTATCCGGTTTTCTTGAGAATTATACGAGACACAGTGAAATTGCAGAGAAGTGGACTCACATAAATATCACCTTGAAGACATCACTTTGTCCAAAGTGGTCCCCTGTATGATGAGACTGAGTGATAACAAATGTGTACAGAGCAGAACATCTGCTYCTCTGCTCAGACCTAAGGATCAACCCCACCACAAACATCCTTGGCACAAARCACTCTTCAAAACAAGCTTGATTGACAAAACGTCTTCTTTGAAGGAACTCTAATCCAAAAGAAATAAAAAGAGAAATATTATGTGAGCTCAGATATGTATCTGCCCATCTTTTAAWGTGGTCTCTTCRCACAATCACTTGTAGAACAGAGGGAAAYGGAAATTAGAAGCTTGTAGCAAGCTTGGAAATGAAGAGGGTTGGATTCATGTGCTTGGTCACAACTTCCAGTGACTGACAGATCTGAATTCAGTGCAGGAACATTCTTTCTATTGCAGAATCTCAAAGGAAATRTCTGTTATTTGMCATCTTTTTTCATACATAGAACCACTTAGGTGTGTCCCTCCTGCAAAWTGGAGTTTGTCTGCCCCAAAACTCCTATGCCCAAGTTTGTCCKCTGYTGCCTTTGACCAAGYTCTGCCATGGCCACTCTGGAAGTCTTGTGTGTGAGGACAAGATAGATCTGGGKTTTTTTTGACAGCCTTGATAAATGCAGCCATTTTGTCTAAATGTCCTAATAAATTATATTCATCTTAATGTGTTTCAGACTGAGCTGKAATTATTTTTTAATATTCCATTCTGCTGTGCTCGGGTTTCTTTTAACTGCACAGAGAACAAATAATGAGGCATCTTGGGGAAAGGATCCAAAGAYTTCTCTCTTTGTTTATCTTTGTCACACACCCTGAAATGTGCCCCTCTGCACAACCTTATCATAATTCTCACTTGCTKTGAGGTGTTCCTTTTGTTTCTTCTCGAGAGAAGAAGGGGGCACCTTTGCCTAGACCAGGTTGTTCATGTCTTGTGAATTTAAGACTCCTAGAAGCACAGATGGAAGAAGTATTTTTCAGGAAACAGTTCTCCTTTCTTTTTGAAGCAGCCATGAGACTACATCAGTAATGTCTGTAATCAGAACACCAAATAAATCTCACGGTTCAATAGGATATTTTCTCCTGTTCTGAAGTGTTTCRAGGAGATTAAAGGAGTGACAAACACAAAGTAGGAGAAATAACTCCATTTTACATTTATTCCATTATACCCATCTGTCCTCTGGCACTAGRATATAGATTTCTTCTTTAATGACTTTTAAAAGAGATATGCCATATTCCTCTCAAGTSTGTCATCAGATTCTTTTGAAATAAATGTGTTGAATGTCAGGTGACTTTTAATCTATTCACCACATTTTCTTCACTACTGCAATGAGTCTGGTACCATAACCGAGCTAATCCTAAGAAAGAACACAGAGAAAAAGCAGCTCCCTTGGCTCTCCCGAGAGAATGTCACTTCTCATCTGACTGCAGTTCTGTTTTCCTCTCTACCACCTTTGAATTATTCATCTATTTTGGGTCCAAATTATCCCCAGGAGAGGGAAAGCCTCTAAAGCCTGCAGCCTTGCTCCAGTTGCACTGCGCAYTCCTGCACAGTGTGAATACTGGATGAACCTCCTATGTTCCCATAACAGATAAGTTATTCCCATAAGGATTGTCAGTGAGTGATCTTTAACGTGAGTTCATTACGACATTATTGATCATAGAAAATTGTGTGGTAGGACATTATTACTACAGAAGAAYAACTCATGCTTTTTCAAGGGAAAAGAAGCTAAAACTTTATTCTTAAAACAAGATTTTTTTCCCAGCCTTCGAGCATTAGAAAGATGCTTTTTTAAAAATACGTTACAACAAAATATGATACAATATGATATGGAAGTACAGGGAAAGCTCAGCTGTGATTACAACAAAGTGACGAACATGATAAGGACACAAAACCATCAAAATAATATTCAGAAGTTYATAGAAGTTAATAGATACTTTGAAAAGGAAAGGTAGAAAACTTGTTGTTTTCCTGCTGATGTGATGAAGAGGCCTCTTCATTTATTCTCTAGATAACTTGCCACCAGTCTAATTGAAAACAAAATTAAATTTTAAAAAATAGCAATAACGGTAACAACAATAACCAAGCAAATACAGGAGTTCACTGGGTGACCCTGCCCATCAATGGTTCAATGTTTGAGTGATAATCAGTAACAAATGGCTTCCCTCAAGGATCTGCACTGGGACCACAACCATTCCATACCCTCATCAGTGTGTCATTGATACAGGGACCAAGYGCACCCTCAGTAGTTTGCAGATGACACAAAGCTGTGTGGCCATTGATGTGTTTGAGGGAAGAAATGACATCCAGAGGGACCTRGACAGACTCAGAGAGGGGGCCYAYGTGAACYCCCACCCAYCCCCYCTGGAGTTCTGTGTYGAGCTCTGGAGGCCCAGCACAAGGAACACATGGACAYGTCAGAGCAAGGCCAGAGGAGGCCCAAAAAAAATGGTCACAGGGATTCAGGGAGTGAAGACAGGCTGGGAGAACAACCCCTCTTCAGGCTGGACAAGAGAAGCTTCAAGAGGGGAGAGCTTCTTGAGGCTTTCCAATATAGAGGGGGCTTCTAAGAAAAACAGAGATGCTTTAGAAAGCCTGCAGTTACAGGACAAAGGGCACAGGTTTTAAACTGATACAAGGCAGCTTCAGATTAAAGGAAGAAATGAGTTCTGGTGAGGGTAGTGAGAGAGYGGAACAGGTTTTCCAGAGAAGCTGTGGATGTCCCATCCCTGGAAGKGTTCAAGGCCAGATTGGAAGGGGCTTGGAGCTACCTGGTCTAATGAAAGCTGTCCCTGCCCATGGCATGGGGGGTGTAACAAGATGATCAGTAAAGTTTTTTTCTAATCTAAACCACTCTGTGATTCTATGATTCTAATCCAGAAAAAGGACAAATCTACCCCCTGCACTATATTTTTGCAAAAGGACCAAAAAATATAATTGAGATTGTGTTCATCCTTGCCCTCAACTCTACCAGGTCACTTTTCAAAGAYATCACCCTGKTCTGCCATTAAAGGGACAAGTGCTGAGCCTTCCACTGCTCTCACTGGTGTATCATTCAGCCATAGGAAAAGCTTACTAATAAAAGCATTTCCTGGCAGTCAGTTCAAGTTCTCCCATTTGTTCAGACTGATCCCACTGTTCTTTGTAAATCTCTGCAAATGTTTGATCAGATTTATCTCTTGCATCACCTCAAAAAGCCTGCTTATTATTTTCACTGCAGGCATAATTCCCTTTTCACTGGTTACACGAAAGTATGATATAACTGATACTTCCCTTATTTACTTTCTGGAMAAATTGTCCCTAATTCTCATCTTTCTCATGTGTGTAAAGAGGATTGTGAGAATGAATTTCTCTGCTAGATAGCATTGATTTTTTTTAGAGTTCTGGGAAAACAGTAACAGAAAACCCATCCCTTGTGATTTTTCAAGCCAGACCGCACAAAGCCTGGCAGAGCTGCTGCAGAACAGCCACAGCTCTGAGGACAGGTTTAGGCTTTATTCCACTGACCCWGGAGCAGGGAGGAAGCCCAGGCTTCCAGGGGCACTCTGACTTACCTTGGCTGTCCACACCAGCCCGCTCACCAACACTGCATAGACCAAGGCTTTGCCACAGAGGATGAGGTAAGTGAGCTTCARAGAGTTTCCATAGTGCAAGTACGACTCTGCAAGTCAAACACCATTTGGGTATTCAATTACCATCATCATCATCATCGGCAAGAAATGGTGGATCTAATGGAGCTTTCATCAGATATGAACCYTTGAAATCCTAAGATAACCAACCCAAAGGAACCAGAGACAAATGAGRTCGCACCAGAGAGCAGGGAACAGGACAGAATGCAGTCAACTCAAAGAACTGAAAGAGAAAGCAAATCTGGAAGTACAGAGATTGGGTTTATGCCTGGAAAGTACTGTCTTGCCACACTACTGAAAAACTGGGCTGTTGATTTGAATCCCCTGTTAGGAAGAACAAGATGTGGTTTTTTTTGGCTCCTAATTTTCAGGGCCTTACCAGTATTGCTGACATATCAGGTAAGTTTTACTCAGCCTAGAATAACAGAGTATCTAGAACTTTTATTCTTGCAGATTTTTCACTCTTAAGGAGTTGCCATAGTATTGAGATACCTGCACAGTTTYGGTTCAACCTTCACATTCTGGAAGCACTAAAGAAGTTGGTGAATAACAGGAGTGTGCAAAAATGCATACAAAGAGGAAAGGAAGGTGATTTGTAGTATGAATATCCTCCATACTGGTCCATACTGTGACTCCAGTTTGGGGGGGGATGTGACTTGTCCTGAGAAGTATTCTGAGTTTGATACTAAGAAATATTCAGAATTTCAGATYCTGAATCCTGAAGTCTAAATCACATGGATAAGTATGGATCATTTTGTAGCTGAGCAAGAATCGTCCCAACAGAACTCAGTGTCACAGCTGGAACAAATCACAGTCTACAGAAAGGTTYCACGATTTCTTCTGATTTTTCAAAATGAAATCATGAGGAAGAGCAAAACCCCAAAAACACAGCAACATAGAACATGCACAACAATCCTCCCAAAGAATTCTCTTCCTTTTTTTTTTGTTGTTTTTAATGTCACATACAAATCATATAGATGAGAAAGTAGAAGCTATTAATACAGAAGAGATCTCCCACATGTTGTACTCAGTGTCAGTAAAGCTGGAATTAAAATACACACAAATATATGCTTGAGACAAGAGGCAAAATTCTCCTTACGTGAGAAGACACGCGTACCTTCTGTGAGTGCACAACCTGAAAGACAAAAATGAACAGAAAGTCATGTTTCTGTTCAAAGCAAACAGGATGCAGATTTTAGAAGTTTCAGTTTACACAATATTGCCTCATTCCTTTTGCTATACTATGGGTTTTATTATGTTATACATTTTACGATACTGCAGAGATTCCTCAGTGGAAAGCCTGAGGGAATTACAGGTGTATAATGGTAATGTAGGTGCAGAGGATGAGGAATGTGGAGAGACATATGCAAACACTACAGATTTAGGGATGTATTTGGGCCATAACAACACCCTATGTGGAAGCTCTATATAGCTGTGTTTCATAACACACACTCCTCCAATTTGTGATTTCTATTTTGTACATCATGGTGACAGACTTCTTTTACTCACCAGCATCACCAGAAATAAATTTGTGCATTGATTGCGTTGTTCCATTCTGGAAAAAATTGGCGACACACTCGAAGTGATTGAGAGGGTTGAACCATTCCCAGGCTGGGATCCGCAGTCGGCTGGTCAGGGAGTAGGTGCTGCCATTGCGTGTGGAGGACTCGTCTGTCCCCACCCCCTCGCTCCTTTTCACACCGTTCACCATCCAGCCCAGGGTCAGGTGGTCAGGGTAGAAACCAGAGGCCAGGCACACCAGTGTGGCCTTGCTCTTCTCCTGGAGCTCCTGCTTGGATGGGGAGAAGATGGCCACAGCTGGAGGGATGATCTCGTCATCCTTCCCTGAAACACAAAGCAATATGGCCCAGAGCCTCCATCACTCTGTGCAATCAGAAACCTCTGAAAATGGTCCTGAGTTTGTGTTGGGTTACTCCTGAATATATGAATTTCTAGTTTTGCTTTTGTCAGAAGAAGAGGAAGCTGGAAAGCAGCTGAGCAAACAGGTGGGCAGGAACACCCCCAGTTACCCTGGAAGGCCGGTGTAATGCTGTAGAAAYAGATAAGGGAGTCTGCTATAAGACACAAACATTGTCATAGGCTGAGGTACATTCCAGGATATGTAATTAATACACAATGGTCACTGCAGTGTTTAGAAAATGTCAGGGGATACCCTACTTGTGCACCCCCTCTTAGAGATGACTTGGAAAGGAGGAAGGACCCAATTTTCCTCACTGTCTGAAGTGAAGAACACTTGGGGTAGGGACCATGAATCTGCCAGACATGAGTTTTGTCTTGTGCGTGTCTTACCTTGCCATYYATTTTTAACAATATTAAACATCTCTTTATGAAATTTATTGTTTAGGTCATCCTAGGCATGAAAATCCCTGATCCTTTGCTACACAACTTTCCTAAACGGAGGCAAGATTTCACACACTCACAAACCGGAGGTTGTTCCCTGCCCTGAAGTGTTTCATGCCTACTTGTAAGACTAATGAGAACAGACTTCAGTCACCAGGATGGACAAGGCTGCAATGAGAAGTTACTCAGAAGCTGGACCCTAAAAAGACAGGGTTTTTCCCAGATGCTATTTTAAAATACCTGTTTTACTCATCTAGCCTGAGAAACTCATGTGGTCTGTAGGGTGGTGGCAGAAAGAGAAATGCAGAGAAAACCATAGAGCCAAAGAGAAAATCATTACTGGTGGTGGTTTTTTTTYCTTTGTATGAAGGCACTGTAAGTTGTACATGTCCTTCCTGATCACTCACTCCTTTGCAGAAGAAGAGAGGAAGCAGAATGAGCAGAAATTGATCTCTTGCCTACATCTTGTCCCCTAAGCCTCAGTGTTTGCATTCCAGTGTTAGCCTGAATTGTGACCASCAGTGCTTATTCTGCAAAGATCYCTGGGGGCTTCWGTGTGAGCTTGTTCAGACTTTACATGACCTGGACATTAAATAGAGATTATTCCCTCAAAGGTTTGTCACTGCTCTGCTTTCCTTTCAGTGGGTATGAAGAGAGGTTGATTGCTTCTTTTTCTTTCTAGCACTTGGCRCTACAATKTTTTTTCTATCCTGGAAATATTTCTCTGACAAATTCTCTGGCTCATASCCTAAATGGCTAATGAGAGAAGAGATGGAAACAGATAGGAGGACACAAAAGAAAAATTAGATATTTAACAGACTAAACAAAGAACTAAAGAAACATACAAACAAAAAAGGAAAAACAAAGAGGAAGGTATGTGGAGAATGGAGACATGAAAAAAGCAAACAAGAAAGAATGATAAAACTACTGGAAAGAAAAAGAAACCAGAAAACGAGCATGCTTGAAATGGAATAAAGAGACTTGTAAAAGCAAGAACAATAAGAAATGTCTGATCAGCAGCCCATTGTGTTCGGTCTTCCACTGACACAAAGCTTCATCACCTCCATGCTTGGACTCATGCATTCCCTGTCACACAGGATTCACCCACCTGAGAGAAAGAATACCACAGTTCCTCCATTCCCACCATGGCAAGGTCAATTTCCTATTTTCTTGTTGTCTTTCACTCCTGCTTTCATTTTTAAATCACCTGTCTATATCCCATTTGTCATCATTAATGCAAGGGAAATTTTCAGGTATCCTCCACACGGAGCACTTGGGTTAACAGCAGCTCCTTACCTATAACTCTGAGCACAGTGCCGGGTCCGAAGATCTGCTGGTTTGCACAGCTGCACAGGGTCAGGCTATAACCTGCTCTTCCTGCCAGCCATAGAGCTCCTTAAAATGGTGTTTAAAGGAGCAGGCACCAGGGAGTATTTCTACAGTTTGCTGTCAGATGGGGCAGTAGCAGATGGAAAAGGTTACTTTGCCCTGTGATTCCAACGTGCCTTGATATAGGTGATGATAAATCGCTTGCTGGGATGGGAGAAGGCAGAGAAAGCAAATGGGTGAAAGGAAAAAGTCTAAAGGAGAAAAGTAGGGTGAGAGAAAAAGAACACAGTCTTTGCTGAGCAGTAGAAGTTGTGAGAAGGTCCTTAGCAGAAGCCAGCAATCCAAAGCAACTTTGGRCAGCCTGCCAAAAATCTATGGAGAGGTGAACAAAGGGCCACAAAGTTCACTCTTTCCTTCCCTGATTCAGCACCCAGGAGAATCCAGACTCTACCTCTGAAATGATGTTTTGAATCATTGCACAGATGAACTGCAAAAACCTGCAGGGCAGAGAAGCATTTTTCATTCCCAACCCCTGTAATATTTGCTTGGAGAATGGKAGGAAACAAAATTATTTATTCCTTTCTCCCTTCATGAAGTTGCCAGAAATGAAAGACAAAAGCTGCAGATGCAGGACCTCAAAATTTCTGCCTGCAAATCCTACACTTCCCTAATAGCTCATATAATTTTAATAAGCAACCAGTAAGGCATTAATCCTGTTCTTATGGCACTATGAAAAATTATCATTACTAACATTTTAATTAAGAATGTTCTTGTCTCTTAAACAAGTATCAGATAAATCACAGAGCTGTGACTTCTGACTTACCTATGACCGTAAGTTTTGTCCCACTGCCAAAGAACATTTTCTCATTGTTCACACTGTTTKGYRGCTGCAGAAAAACCTCTCCTCTACTCCCARTCCTCTGAGCCAAGCCTGTGAACTAATCCTCCCCTCATGTGGTACCAGCAATAGAAGAAACAAAAAGTACATTTATCTGAGTACCCTAAAAAATCTGATCTCAAAGGGAACACCACCATATCTGTGTGTATAAACAGCTGAGATCAACCTCAGAAAGCCCMTGTCCTGGGCCCTTTTGCTTCAGGCCTAGGCAAATCAGTCATTGTAGCTTCCACCATTTCTTTGGAGTATATTTATCTATTTATSCAGGTGTAATATTATGCATTCACTTCGTTGTCTGAAATGAAAGGTGCGTCCCTACCCAGAGTACTAAACTGAAGTCCATTCTCCAAAATAGAGGGGGTTACTAGCACATCAGGAGAACACTAGTTTGATAATGAAAGGGAGGATAATGATGAAGCTCTCTAAAGGGGAGACATGGAATAGGATGTGAATGAAAAGAGAAAACAAAAATTTCTTACCCATTACTGTAAGTTTTGTGCCAGGGCCAAAACGCATGTCAGCACTAAGCACAGTGACAAAGTGATGTATGGTAAGCTAAGAGAAGGGATGCACTGCAGCTGGCTCACTATCACAGAACAAAGCAGAAGCTGAAGAAATCGTTACTGTATTTGGAATCCCAAACATCACTCAGTCTCTGAGATGGTCCACCTTTKTCAGGGAACTAAAACAAACCCTTTTGTTTTCCCTTCCATGGCAGGCCAGGCATCTTGCATAGTCCTTCAGCATCACATTCCRTTTCCTGATAGGATACAATAATCCACACAAGGAGAGCCCAGAGGAATCAGCTGACTGGTCCCAGACAGACCCTTGATATCCATTAGGAAAAACCACAGTGAGGCAGTGGACAGAAGGAGCAGATACAACCTCTGTTCTCACAGGCATGAGGCAGTCAGCAGATACTGGAGGGTTATTTAGGAGAGAAAATCTCATCACATTTTATGYAGTGCCTCTGAGACATACCTGCTACATGTCAGAAATCTTTTTCTAACATTTGTATCACATGACGAAAGAACCATTTTTTCATCTATTGCAAACATTGGGGYATCAGGAAAAAAATAMYARTTCCTTCCTTGCATGCTCTGATARGCTTTAGGTGCATCTGGAGTCAATTTGGTTTGCAGAAAATGAATTTCATTATCTCAGAATTCCCTATCTTGCTTCCCAGAGAGGGCMGGCTGAGTTCTGAGATGATGGAAGTCAATCCCAGCAGCAAGGTGTGTTAAGAGAAAGGYAGAGCACACCTGCTCTGCTGCAGAATTCTGTGCAGCTGCCTYAACACAGTCCCACAGGGCTCACRCACCTCTGGGTTTTTGTAAAGGCTTCCKGGAGAATGTATCATCGTGGATACCCCCCCCCCAGTCCCACAATGATACAACTTCATACAAAAACAATCCCACCCATGACTCCACCCCCTGTTTTTGTCAACCAGGAAGGATTTCAGTGAGATCTTGTGCTGGTTTGGTCTGTGGTGGAGTTAATAGATAGAAATGTTTTTGTTATTGCTGACTACTGCAATATCATTACACAGCATTCCAGGCTATCATTACACAGCATTCCAGGCCTCTTCTGCTCCTGGTGCCATCATGCTGGCAGGGAGGCTGGTGGTGCATGGGAACTTGGGAGGAGGGACAGCAGGGACAGCTGATCCCAACTGAACAAGGGACATTTCCTACCCCATGGCGTCATGCTTGTTATATAAAGGGGGCAAGAAAGGGAAGAAAAATTTTCTGGAGAGAAATCAATTTAAAATCAAGAGATTTTTTTTTTTTTTACAAAAATTTAGTAGCCAGAATGTTTTTTTTTCCATTTAGCTGATTACGAGGACTTGTTTAGAGCTCCTGTGTAGAAGTAATAACTGGATGTCCTTAGCTGAAATAACATATYAACTAGTAATTGTATTACACTGTTCATACTGGTGGAGAAGTTGAGGCCATCAAATGGAACTGGTTTTGCAGACTTTCTCATGGCAGTGTCATTTACACCAATCTGCAGTATATTTAAGATGATAGACTGCAGAATGTGGAGTCAGTGACTTCGCAGAGCTCTCTACCTGCTTGCTCGAATAGCAATGCACATCTTGATGCTACAGGCAGGTCTGCTGAGTCCCATGGAAGTTTCAGGATAGCAGGCTGGATTTTCATGTCCATGTGTGTGCCCAACAAGAACATAAACAGTATGGGTACACCATCACATGCCTGAACAGCTGTGCCTGCCAGCAAAAGCCATCACAGGACACATTGAGACACACAAAGGTCACATCCTGCTTTGCACACACAGGTGCAAAGATTTAGAGATAAACAAACTCACTGTCAAGAGAGGAAAACATTAAGGGCTTGACTTCCCTTCAAATAAAAAAAAAAAAGGGAAGAAAAAAAACAGGAGATACCATTTGAGCTCAGATAGGTATCTGCCCATCTTTTAATGTGGCCCTTCACACAATCACTTGTAGAATAGAGAGAGTGTGCGGAAATTAGAATTACATGGCTTGTAGCAAGCTTGGAAATGAAGAGGGTTGGATTCATGTGCTTGGTCACAACTTCCAGTGACTGACAGATCTGAATTCAGTGCAGGAACATTCTTTCTATTGCAGAATCTCAAAGGAAATATCTGTTATTTGACATCTTTTTTTCATACATAGAACCACTTAGGTGTGYCCCTCCTGCAAAATGGAGTTTGTCTGCCCCAAAACTCCTATGCCCAAGTTTGTCCTCTGCTGCCTTTGACCAAGTTCTGCCATGGCCACTCTGGAAGTCTTGTGTGTGAGGACAAGATAGATCTTGGGGGTTTTCTGACAGCCTTGATAAATGCAGCCATTTTCTCTAAATGTCCTAATAAATTATATTCATCTTAATGTGTTTCAGACTGAGCTGGAATTATTTTTTAATATTCCATTTTGCTGTGCTCAGGTTTCTTTTAACTGCACAGAGAACGAATAATGAGGCATCTTGGGGAAAGAACCCATCATCTGAATTCAAAGAYTTCTCTCTTTGTTTATCTTTGTCACACACCCTGAAATGTGCCCCTTTGCACAACCTTATCATGATTCCCACTTGCTGTGAGCTGTTCCTTTTGTTTCTTCTTGAGAGAAGAAGGGGACATCTTTCCCTAGACCAGGTTGTTCATGTCTTGTGAATTTAAGACTCCTAGAAGCACAGATGGAGGAATGATCTCATCATTCTTCCCTGAAACACAAAGCAATATGGCCCAGAGCCTCCATCACTCTGTGCAATCAGAAACCTCTGAAAATGGTCCTGAGTTTGTGCTGGGTTACTCCTGAAATACCTGGCCTGTTAAAAGCTATCTGTTGGACAATTAATTTCTATTGGATATGAGACACCAGGAAACTGGAAGAATTTGTTTTCACTCATTGCGCTGAAACATTAACGGTCTGGCCACAGAAATGCATGTAAACGAATTTCTAGTTTTGCTTTTGTCAGAAGAAGAGGAAGCTGGAAAGCAGCTGAGCAAACAGGTGGGCAGGAACACCCCCAGTTACCCTGGAAGGCCRGTGTAATGCTGTAGAAATAGATAAGGGAGTCTGCTATAAGACACAAACATTGTCATAGGCTGAGGTACATTCCAGGATATGTAATTAATACACAATGGTCACTGCAGTGTTCAGAAAATATCATGCCCTACTTGGGCACCCCCTCTTAGAGACAACTTGGAAAGGAGGAAAGAGCCAATCTTTCTCACTGTCTAAAGTGAAGAATACTTGGGGTAGGGACCATGAATCTGCCAGACATGAGTTTTGTCTTGTGTGTGTCTTACCTTGCCATTTATTTTAAACAATATTAAACATCTCTTTATGAAATTTATTGTTTAGGTTATCCTAGGCATGAAAATCCCTGATCCTTTGCTACACAACTTTCCATAACGGGGCAAAACTCTTTACACTCACAAACTGGAGGTTGTTCCCTGCCCTAAAATGTTAGTACCTACTTGTAAGACTAATGAGAACAGACTTCAGTCACCAGGATGGAGAAGGCAGCAATGAGAAGTTACTCGGAAACTGGGCAGTGACCCTAAAAGACACWTTTTTTTTCCCAGATGCTATTTTAAAATACCTGTTTTATTCATCTGGCCTGAGAAACCCCTGTTGTTTGTAGAATGCTGGTGAAAAAGAGAAATGCAGAGAAAACCATGGAGCCAAAGAGAAAATAATTTCTGAGGTTGGGGTATTTTTTGTATGAAGGCACTGTAAATTGTACATGTCCTTCCTGATCCGTCTCTTCATTGTAGAGGAAGAGRGGAAGCAGAATGAGCAGAAATTGATCTCTTGTCTCCATCTTGTCCCCTAAGCCCCAGTGTTTGCATTCCAATGTTAGCCTGAATTGTGACCACCAGTGCTTATTCTGCAAAGATCCCTGGGGGCTTCTGTGTGAGCTTGTTCAGACTTTACATGACCTGGACATTAAACAGAGGTAATTCCCTTGAAGGTTTGTCACTGCTCTGCTTTCCTTTCAGTGGGTATGAAGAGAGGTTGATTGCTTCTATTTCTTTCTAGCACTTGGCGCTACAATTTTTTTTCCTATCCTGGAAATATTTCTCTGACAAATGCTCTGGCTCATAGCCTAAGTGAGACAATGAGGGAAGAGATAGAAACAGATAGGAGGACACACAAGAAAAAATTAGATATTTAATATATTAAAAAGGAAAAAAAGAACCACCATAAGAAAAACCCAAGAAAAGTGGAATTTAGGTAAAAGAGAGACAGAAAGAATGATAAAATTATTGGAAAGAAAAAGAAAACAAGCATACTTCAAACAGAAYAAGGAGACACATAAAAGCAAGAACTGGAAGAAAAAATCTGATCAACAGCCCATTGTGTTCTGATCTTCCACACTGCTCATTTTTCATTCCCAACCTCTATAATGTTTTCTTGGAGAATGGGAGAAAACAAAATTATTTATTCCCTTCTCCCRTCATGAAGTTCTCAGCAATTAAAAACAAAACC